TGCAGTGATATATCAGAGGCAAGGTCCTGATACTCTGAGACATGGCATCAGACCACCACAAGTCCTTGACTCAGTGGCCGGATACAGGAATATTTAGGGAATAAGCTTCCGGGCCCGTCCCTAAAGTGAAACATCTCTCTGAAATATTTTAACCAATCTTCACAGCTTGAAAACCACGGAGTTCATCAAGGAGAGTCCATTTCTAGCATCTGTTACACTGATTAACAAACTACTAATTTCACCAATGAAAACCTCTGCAGAAATGTTAATTAGCAGCATCTGGTGTGGCTCAGAAATATGGATACTAATTGAGGCATTGTAGTCGTCATCTCTGGAGTATGGCCTTCCCGGTAAAATGTTAGGTGATCACCTCGAAGTGTGAATTCGTGATTAGGGAAGTGACAGCCCCTGGAGTGTAGGTTAAAAATGTACACATTTATATCACATTCTCTCCACTAAAGTATTTTAAAGAAAATTATAGACATTATCATGCTGTCCACATGAAGATCTCATCCATCTGTGTACCAAGTATAAGTGAGTCTGGGGGAAAAGGAGCATGAGATACGTTGTCTAATGAAAATGTTCTATCCTAGATCATAAAAGCCCCATTATTGTTTTCTATCTCCGCTTAACTTATTTCTTAACTGTTTGGAAGCATCCCAGCATCCTCCTGGGTTTTGCGTGCACGCGTACAGTCATGCTAGGTTTTGAGGAAGAGAGGTAGACAGCCAGCGCATCCCAGGAAAATGGAATGGGCAACCCTCAGCCTTCAGCCTTGACTGTCCTTCCCAGAAACAGCAAGAATTTTTAAACACTACAGAGTAGGACCTGAGAGCAGTTACAATTGTTCTCGCTTCTTAGCAGACCTGATTCCCAACTTGGTTGAGGCCTTGACTTTATCCCAATACTCCGATACCTGCCCTGAAATGTTACCCCCCAAACTCCTGCACCTGCTCTTCCTCCCTGTGTGTGATAGGTATTGATAGCATCACTGCTTCTCCCGTTCCCCAGCTCTGAAAATCCCACTTAATTAACTCTCACAAATAAGGGCATGAGCAAACTCAAAGCAAACGCCTGTCATTTGAAATTGGGTGCAAACCCTCCTTCGGCTGAAATGCATCGGCATGGCGATGTTCCTGGAAGCAAGTTGAAGGGCAGAGCGGCCCTCTAAGTGGGCTTACTGACCACGGGGAGCAGATGCTGGGGAAAGGGCCACGTGATTTTCCGGGGGCAGGTTTCCTCTTTAGAGGCCAGGATTTGGAGGGATAGCCATTACCAACCATGGGAGTGTGGCTGATCAAATTAAGGAAGGTGCTTTTAAATTCAATTACACCCTCAGTGGAAATGGTCTCACTAATGCATGGGGAAAAAATTATACCCAGTCCATAAAGCCTAACATTTCTAAACCCAATTTTGTGCATTATTCTAAAGGTTAATTCAAGATCTCTCTTCCAAATGGGAAGCTAAATACAGCCAATGGGAGGAAGGCATCCGCTGACTGACTGAGGGGTTTATCAGTCTGTAAGAGTTCATTAGTTTTAATTAGTGTAATCACTAATGTTGCATTAACAGTTTAGTGAAGGAAAGTAATTACTCACACATCCACTGTATTAGATGGGAAGATTAGAATTCATTTTCCAAAACGATTAGCATTTTGCCAATTAAAAGAATTCCTTCTCCCTGCCAGCAGCCCTGTGACCTGGCTCACCCAAAGATCGTTCAAATGAAACATATTTTGCATCAGAAGATGAAGCAGGAAGAAATGAAGAATTAAGGCTGTGTTTATTCTTAGCACCTTCTTGGGGCACAGCAAGTGCACGGGGTTTGATGAGTTTATAATGTCTCACTCTATTTGCATAGTCATTCACATCAGTCACTTGGATATACTCCCAGCTGCTTTGTTACCCCACAGCAACTGAAAAATGAAAAGGCTAGTGGCAGATGAGGTCCAAGGAAGCAATGGGAGAGTCTAGGGGGAATGACCATTGCTAGGGTCCAATCGCTAAACAAGGGCCGGGACTTGCAACTGGCCCGGTCCTGAGTGCCAGCTTGGAAGGCTTTGCTGGTGCTGCTCACAGGAGCTGCCTGAAGCATGAAGCTGTGCCTCTTGGGCCCTCGTGCTGACTTCCACTGAGCACCGGGTGTCATCTTGGTGCCTAAGCTCAGATGACTTAGGCAGTATGGTCTGACTGCTCTCCAGCACCGCGACCCACCTCCTCTCCATCTCCACCAGGTCATCCATTTACCAGCCATTTGGAACTTGTCATTTTTTAAACATCCCATGTCCTATCATACCCGGCTCCTTCAAACCTGCTATTCACTCATCAGCAAACCTTTGGCCTATTCTGTTAGAGCATTCACCCTTCATCCTTTGCCCAGTGTAAATGTCACTTCACACTGACTAGAATAGCTACCTCTCCCACTTTGTACTCTCAGAGCCCCACTGCATCCTGCATTTTTGCATTCTATTATAATATTTTACATAATCATAGTGAGCGAGCTACTGAGGCAGGAACAAGGAGCTTACCTTGTTCAGTATCTTCAGCCCCTTGCACATGTTAGATGCTGTACACACTTTTGTCGAATGGCTTAATGAATTATAGGCATCTATCTATCACCCCCACCCCCTCCATCAGCCTCATCAAATCTCAGCCTAGAAGGCCCAGCAGGGCTAGATCAATGAACATTGAAGAGGGGGGAATTGAAACACTTGCATACAGGTAAGCACTCCTTCTTCGGCTGTGCCATTTCCAAAGGGCACCTCACCCAGCACCATTTCCGAAAGGAGCCAACCCTTGCTGACTGCATCTCTGGGCTCCTTTCTGGTAGGTGTCTGATCGGGTTTAGCCAATGGGAGGCACTGGTGGAAGTTTGGAGGGAGGGAAGAAAAGAAGGTCAAGGTATTTCTTCCCCATGCCCTCCTTACTTTAATTTCACATCTCTGATACTAGCTGCACAGAACAGGATGGAGAGGATGGAAAACAGATCTGAAAAAGGGCATGTGGAGAATAACTAGCCCAGAGGCAATTTCCGAGATGGGAAGTTCAGGATGTTCTGTCGTCATGAGTCAGTGTTGAGACAGGAGGCCCAGGTCAAGTGCGATGTTGGGGTCTACAGGCTCTTACCTGTGCTTAGCCAAGAGTGCTACCCAGGGGCAAAGGTCAGCTGACCAGGACAGACACAGGCAGGCATGGACAGAGGCAGAAGGCCACCAGAAGTCTTCATTCAAAACCACATCTAAATGGAAATACCATCTTGATGTAATGCTTGGTGTGGTCCTTAAAGCTGTTTGACAGGCATCATTTGATTTGATCCCCTAACAACCCTTGAGATAAATATTTTGCTGATGGGGAAACTGACTTAATCAAGGCTGCTGGACAGATAAACAGTGAAACAGTCCAGGTTCTGCTGACATCCAGCCTGTGATCTTCCTAGTCTATGATGTATGTCAGCTTTAACTGATCTGGGCTCCATTCCCAGCTCCACCCCTTATGAGCTGTGTGACCTTGGGCAAGTGACTGAACCTCTCTGTGTGTCAGTTTCTTCATCTGTAAGACACAGGTATAATATGTTTCTCTGGTGATTGTTGTACAGACTAAGTGAGAGAGAGGGGCTTCTCAGGGGCTGACAGCACGTGGGGCTTTCCACAGGAGGCCAAGACCAGGTCCTCTTGAACTTAGCAGAAGAGGCTGACCTTCTGCCGGGCCGAGACAGCTGGAAGGACCTGGAAGGGGCCTTGCACCTGGCTGACAGAGTATGTGAGCCTGGGATTCTTCTGCAATCCCAAGGGATGGGAGGAACCCTCCCCCCTCACCCACTGGCTAAATGGTACACGCCACCAGCAGGCAGGTGGGAACTCAGCCAGATTTAATTTTTTTTTTTAAAGGAAATTGATCTTTTCTGTGAAAAATTAAATGAAATAATTATGCAAAAAATACCTACTTTCCGCAGTGCCTAACACTTAGTAGATGCTACATACTCGTTAGTTCCCTCCCCTATATTTAACACTAAAGGGTAAGTCAGACTCATCACTAGCAGGATTCTGGAACACAGCCTGTTCCTTCGTGGGCCTGGTGGATGTGCAGGATGGGTGACAGCAGGCTGCCCAGTAGCTGTCATCAGAAGCAGGGCAGGAACTACTGGAAGGCCCTGTAGCTCCACTCCAGGTCTGCTGCACTCCTGGGGGAACACAGCTAACAGCTCCAGAGCAGAGCTAGGCTGGCCCCCACTTGCCTCCAGGTCACCTGCGCCACAGGGTGACCATCCCAGCACACCACGTGGGTGGGTGTGTGGGTGTGTGTGTGTGTCCCCTACATGCGCTAAACAGAGAGAAGCTAGCCAGGCCTCCGTTGTTAGCTACCCTCTGAGCCCAGGAGATAGAAACTGGCAGCGGTGCTGGTGAGTGTGAATGACAGACCTTTGCCCTCATCCTCTGTACGCTGGAAATGAACCAAAGGGAGGTGAGAAGACAAGTGCCCAAAGGCACCTGCCGTCCAGAAAGGCCTTGGAGAGCTAGGGCACAACACTCTCTACCTGAGGGCGGAGACCGGCTGCCACGTGTTGGCCTCATGCCTGGAGAGCCCTGCAGTGCAGCCACCTCCACAGCACAGCCTACATCCTGCAGGCTAATTAAAGAAAAAAAGAACTCAAACTCAAGGAACAGAGCGGGGAGCTGGAGGCGGGCACGACGGGGTGGGGGTGGGGGATGCTGCTGTGTTCAGAGCCAGGAGGCGTGAAAATGAATCCCAGGCTTTCCACGAGCTTTGCAACCTCTGGCATGTTACTAGGGGAGCCTGTTTCTTCAACTGAAAAATATGAATCACAGTCCTCTTGTCACAGGGAGGACCCTTGTGAAAACCACAATTAATTACATGCATAGTAATGTCTGTACCACCCACACCAAGAAACTCCGTGTTTATTTTGCTCACAGCTGTACCCCGAGTGCCCGCAGGGTTTGGCCATAGCAGGTACTGGATAAATGTTTACTGATATCTGATCAGAAGGTGCTGTCAGCTCCTGGTGTTTTGAGGGCATTTGTGGGCAAACTGCCCTGAGGAACAAAAGGTCAGGAGAGTCTCACGGTGGAGGCCGTCTGGTGGTGAGCCCCTGGGGAGGCTGCTCCGGAGCAGAGAGCCAGGCACAGGGCAGAGGTGTGCCTGGTCGGCGGCAGTCCCCGGAGGCACAGGTGAGACTTCAACCCCAGGAAAGGTGGCCCAATAGCGCATAATCAGCTCTGTGTCCCACCAGTTGCCTAAGGACCCAGGAGAAGGGCACCCAACAGCACAACCCTTGACAAATGGGCACTCACTGAAATTTTGTTTTAAAAGTAATAGTAATGATAAAATAGGGAAAAAAATCCATTGACCTTCATTGCCTGCAAAAAAAACCAACAGAATCAAAAAAGAAAAAAAAATTGATTTTTCTGTTTTTTATGACTAATGACCATAATCATGCATGTTATTTGAGGGGGGAAATTGCCTATTTGCTTGAGTATCTTATTAAAGAATCAGAAAGGCGTAAATATTGCATTTTCTTGGACTGAGTTTTCAGAATCTCAACCACCCAAGACATCCACTGTGTCCCTCATTTTTTTTTTAGTTTTTTTTTTTAATGTCCTATAGAATTTGAAAAATCTCTTCTTGCAGAAGGAATCTTTTGAAGGAGCTTCTATTTTTAATTGGGTAAATTTAGATTCTATACTGAGAAGAAATGACATGGAGAAGACTGACAATGTTTCAGCATCTAAATTTGGCACAACATTCCAAACATTTAATTTTGTCTCAGAAAAATATTTGTCAAAACAGATAATAACAAGTGTTGGCAAAGATGTGGAGAAATTGGAACCCTCTTCTATGGCTAATGGGAATGTACAAACGGGGCTGTCACTTTGGAAAACAGTCCAGCAGTTCTCCTCATTTTTTTCTTTTTTTTGCTGAGGAAGATTTGCCCTGAGCTAACATCTGTGCCAATGTTCCTCCATTTTGTATGTGGGTCACTGCCACAGCATGGCCACTGACAAGTGGTATAGGCCTGCACCTGGGAACCGAATCTGGGCCGCTGAAGCAGAGCGCGCCAAACTTAACCACTAAGCCACAGGTCCAGCCCCTCTTCTCATTTTTTAAGAAATACAACTTTCGGGCCAGCCCCATGGCTTAGTGGTTAAGTGAGTGCGCTCCGCTGCTGGCGGCCCGGGTTCGGATCCTGGGCACGCACTGACGCACTGCTTCTCCGGCCATGCTGAGGCCGCATCCCACATACAGCAACTAGAAGGACGTGCAGCTATGACATACAACTATCTACTGGGGCTTTGGGGGAAAAATAAATAAAATTAAAAAAAAAAAAAAAAAAAAAAAAAAGAAATACAACTTTCTCCACCTGCACTGGAGAGTCTGGTTTTAACACCTTGAACGCCAGGGGGTCTCAGGCGGGCTGAGAGCTTGGCCTCACGCCCACTAACATTCTTCTCTTTCTCCTACAGTATGTGTCCAGCCGCCGTGCCGTCACTCAGAGTGTGCCAGAGCAAGGCAGCTTCCCCCCTCACCACCTCACCCACCACCACCGCCACCACCGCCCCCACCATCACCTCCGCCACCACACCCGCCCCCACCACCTCCACCACCAGGAGACAGGGCTGCACACTGCCCAGGTGACGCCCTGCATATGCCCCTTGTTCTCCTGCCAGTGGGAAGGCCACCTGGAGGTGGTGGTGCCCCACCTGCGGCAGATGCACAGGGTTGACATCCTGCAGGGAGCTGAGATAGTCTTCCTGGCCACGGACATGCACCTCCCAGCGCCAGCCGACTGGATCATCATGCACTCCTGCCTCGGCCACCACTTTCTGCTGGTGCTTAGGAAACAGGAGAGGCACGAGGGGCACCCCCAGTTCTTCGCCACCATGATGCTGATCGGGACCCCAACCCAGGCCGACTGCTTCACCTACCGCCTGGAGCTCAACAGAAACCATCGGCGTCTCAAATGGGAGGCTACTCCCCGGTCTGTCCTTGAGTGCGTGGACTCGGTGATCACCGATGGGGACTGCCTCGTCCTCAACACCTCGCTGGCCCAGCTCTTCTCCGACAATGGCAGCCTCGCCATCGGAATCGCCATCACTGCCACAGAGGTCTGCTCTTCAGAAGCTGAGATGTGAAGCAAGAGGCCACGGGACGCTCACACACAGCTACCCCTCCACAAGGAAACCCTGCCTGTGCCCCTCGGATCTCCGAATGCCAGGACTCCGGACTCCTTTTTATTCTTCTCCCTCCTTCCTTCCTTCCTGCCTTCCTTCCTTCCTTTCTTTTTTTGTCTCAGGTACTTTGTGGTATTTAGTATTTGTTTGCCGTGGGCATTATATTAACGTAAACACCCTGTGATTCCCGGTCTTGGTGTGATGTTTGTCCTGATTTGTTGGTATAGTTTTATAGAACATTTTAAATCAGATTCAATCAGAATGGTTATTTCTTGCCACCCCCATTCCCTTCTTCACTGCTTCCAAAGTGAGCAAAAGCCGTGGAGACCACGAAGCAGACTGCTGGGGTTGAAAGGAGACTTAGCGTCCAAATCATTTCTTCCTTCTCTTTTCGGTCTCTCTCAGAGGAAGCTAGCTCTGAAATGGGTGAGGACAGCAGGTTGGGGAAGGGGACCTGGCCAGCTCAGAGATATATTTCAGACCAACCAGACACAACTCTGACACCTTCCCAGGAACCTCAGGGTCAGAACTAAGCTGTCTGGACATGAGGAGATGGCGTGTCATCAGAAGCCAGGACACTGGGCTGGAGGTGCCATCACGCAAGGAGTCCTCCAGGTTGATCCTGGGGCTCGGGGGAGGGGGCAGATGTTGACCCCTCTGTTGGCGGGCTGTCAGGGGCTTGCTCTCAACCTGTGCCATCTTTCCCTGCTCTGGAATCAAGGTCCTCAAGTTTTGGGTGCTTTCTCGAAAACCTCTTTGCCCACTGTTGAGCAAGTAGTAGGAAAAGGTAGGCAAGATGCAGGGGAAGAGAAGCAACTGAAAAAACAAAAGATAAAATTAATCTCCCGCCTCTGGGAGGGCGTTCTCTCCTCAGAGAGTTTTATTATCAAGTTATAAAATCCACCCATCCTTTCACAAGGGTGGAGTATTTTTGTATCATGCGAAGAACCCACTTTGCTCTTGATACCTCATAAACCAGAACCATGACTCAGTGTCAAACACAAGGAACTCGGAGGGTGGGACCTCAGGTCAGAGGTCACTCATGCACCTGGGAGGGTCCTCTTTCCTTTCCTTGTTTTCTAAAGTGCTCCGAGGGCCCCATTCAGCCCACAGACGTTACCACTGGGTCAACTCTGTATTCAGCACCCTGTCTCGGTGTGAATGAAAAGGCAATGAAAATCCATCTTGCCTCTGCGTAGGCTGCTTTCTCGTATTTCATTGTCAGAACAATTCAACAACTTCTTGAGGAAGCCTCTCGTGTATTTGAAGAAAGTAAGCATGTTTAGCCGGCTTTGTCTCTTCTGTTCAAAGGCAAATACATGTAAGCCTTCCCAGCAGGCCCTTTTCTCCCTCTTTTTGCCATTTTTGTCCTCCCCTTGGCCACTCTCTGGTCACTGAGAAGCACAGCACCCAAACCCCACACAACACTCATTAGAATTGAGAGGGTCTTTTGCCAACCAGATGTGCTCTCTGCCTCGTTCCCTCGCCTCAGCCATCTTGGCCGGATCCTGGCAGGCCTCTAAATAAGTATTTAGTTTCAGGCAGCTTGCCCTGGCTGGCCATCAACAATCTTTTCCCCACCGAAAATAACTGATCCTGAAACACAACACCCTTCCCCCAACAACCAGGTAATCCTCTAGCTGCCTATGCTGCCAACCCACCCCCAAGCACCAGAAGGGTGGTGCCTTCAATAGAAGATTTCATAATGCAGCCCCTCTAGTCACACAGTAATCGCTAGGACCCTGGGGCTGAGCTGTCTTTGGGTTAGAGCCCAAAGGGGGCCAATAAACACCATGTCACTGACAGAGGCAAATGTCAGATCTGTAGTCCCAAGGAAGGGCTGTAACCTGCTTGATCTGTCAGAACATCCTACCAGGGCACCAGCTCTCCCTTGGAACCGCACAGACGGCCAGGGAACAAGCTGAGGCTGGTTGGCCAGCGCTGGGAGAGATGGCTCCCTTGGATCCTTACTTCATCCCCAGGCCCTTCCCCAGAACCCAAGACCTCCTTGCCTGTAAGTCTGACACCTCTGGAAGCCACAGTTCCTCCCCTGGTTTCTGATACTCAATCACTTTACAAACATTTATGTAGCATCACAGGTGGCCCAGACAAATAAGCAAACATAACCTCAGTAAGCATATAATTATGTTTCACAGGACCTTAGGCTCCTGCAAACATCACCTCTGCCTTCTTGTTGTGCCACATTACCTGAGCCAAAGAGGGAATAACTTCAGGCTATTATTATTGCACACAAGACTGAATTATGAGTAAGTGATCCCAGATGGGAACTGGTATTTTTGGTTCCTAGAAACCTTTAGAATAAGGAGTGGAAATGTGTTGTTTTTGTCCATCTATAGTGCTCCCAAGAAGGCCTTCCTGTCCCCATGAGAAGAATCGGAGAAAAAGGAGCAAACTAAAAACAATGAATGGGGAATAGAAAATGGTACCAAAAAAGTGTGTTATATTGAGCTTTATAGTCACAAAGGGCTCCCCCATTTGAGTCTCAGGTTAATCCTCATCAGCATCCTCAATATACTAAAAAAATAGAAGTTCAGAGACATAAAATGACCTTCCCAAGGTCACATATCAAATGGTTGGGACCACGACTAGAACCTTGCCAACGAACGCAAACTTGGTGTTCTTAAACTAAGAAAATGGACCCAAGATATTCAGCAATGTTCCTGCCACATCAGTGGACTCTGGGCCTGAGGGTCAGCTGGGTCTTGTTTCTGTGATACTTGGGGGAGCAGGGAGAGAGAGACTAGAGCGGATTTGCTTTTAGAGGCATCTCAGCTTGAAGAACTGGTCAACCTGCAAAGACGGGGGTGGGGGAATGCGGGAACCGGTATGGGGAGTCTTCAGTGCCCTCAGGCCCTTTCTGTACCCCATCACCCACTCCAGGCTCCCCATTCTTAGATTCCCAGGAGTCTGTCCAGTGAAGATCTCTGGGATCTGGTTGCCTCATTCAGTCCTCGGTGCTCACTTAATGACTCGTCCTCTAAGGAGTATTTGCATTTTAAAAGTGGGCCTAGGGAGATAGTAGCATTTACAGCAAGAAATGAGTTACCAGTATTTGCACCTCACACATCTGTGAGAATGACTTTTTCAGGAGTTGTAGACATTCCTCCCCTTGAGGCTGAGCCTACGTCAATGGTCGATGCTGAAATGGAGGTCAGGCCATACAACGAAGATTGTCTTTAACCATCGATCTCTGTATGGACTTGCATCTGGGATAGATCCCATCACTACCTGTGGCTACTGTGAATATTTAGAAATGGATCAGGTTAATAATAATAGTACTCACGGCTACCATTATTGAGGGTTTACTATGTGACCCAGTGGGCTAAGTAGTTTGAATATATTGTCTCATTTAATCCCCATAACAACCTTATGAAGCTGGTACTATTGTTGTACCCATAAGAAACTTAAGCTAGGAGAGGTTAGACACTTGTTTAAGGTCACACAGCTAGCAAATGGTAGAGCTGGGCCTGGAACCCAGCACGTCTAGCTCCAAAGTCCAGGCTTCTAATCAATGTCAACTACGTCATTTCTATGAATTCATGGACTCAAGGCTCAGAAGGACCCAGTAATAAATTCTGAATGGCATAGAGCCCTATTAGTACTTTAGTACTAATTTCCACTTTTTCTTCCTCTTTTCCCAGCCCGAGACAGAGTGGTGTGCTGGAGCTAGCTTGTATACCTGTTGATAAATTTCTTAAGGAATTTTGCAAGCCGATTGTTAAGCACAGCCATTAGTAAAAATTCAATTATATAAATTTACAGTTAAATGTTATATTAAAAACAAAGGTAATAAATACTCAAAACTCACTACTTCCTATTTTTTTCACAAATACTTTTTATTTCTGTGCTCTTGAAGTTATTTACATCTATCACATCTATATGGTGAACATACTGTATAATAATGTGCTACAGTGCATCTCCCAACTCCACGTTTAGTGACATCATGGTAATAACTTGAAATTGGTCATGATGGTAGTAGTTACATGGAAACTGGCAAGTGCTATAAGCCAGAGAGCTTCCCCCCTTCAGAGAACTAGATGTTGAACATTTACCCAGTGGTGTGCTGGTAAATGTTCAACATCTAGTTCTCTGAAGGGGGGAAGCTCTCTGGCTTATAGCACTTGCCAAGCACACCACTGCCTAGACATCTCTGATGCACACAGTGGGGTGGGGAGAGGGGACTTTGGAAGGAGAGGCAAGATCCTGGTGGCCACCCTGACAGGGACACAGATGACAGCCATGCCAGCCAAACAGCAAGTTATTGGCAAAAGATAAACTGTTCTGGAGAAGAGACTCTGAGGCAGATTCTATGCAGCTTCAGGGACATTCCCTGCCCTTCTCTAGACACCCTCTATTGCTGTTAGCGTGAGAAGTTCTATCTAATGACTTTCATGGAAAAATCACGACTCCACAAAACCAGCCTATTGGCTATCCCAGTCCAAACAGAAAAACCAAGCTCTACAAAACTGGAATCTCCTATTACGTGTTGTCATAGGCCATCTTTCTTACCTCTACATGTAGACCAAAATTTAATCTAAAGAAATATTTTGCTTAAAGAGACTGGAAATATCCAACATCTGAGAAGGGCACAGTGAGCAGTGGTTTCAAACATCACATAAATGTGTGACCACAGGGGTGGGACCCTTACATAGCACAAAGCTGAGGGACAGGAGAGGGAACCAGTCAAGGGATGTCACACAAAGAACAGAGCCAAGAGCCTTGCTTTCCCCCAACTCTGGCTACTTCACATCATTGCAGTCTGACAAGGACTCTGTTCACCATCCGTGGCCCACCCAGACCAATACTCTTTCCAAATTAAGGGCATGGTTCCTGCTAGGATAAAAGTCACAGGAAGCACCAGGCTGAGTGCCTTGAAGCAGGCGGAGTCTCCAGGGTCAACAGTGAATCAGTTACTCTGATCTTCGTGGTTTCAGTGTAAG